GGGGGGGGGGGGGGGGGGGGAGTAAAGCGCCCCCTGCTGGTTTTGGCTAGCAGTTCATGGCTAGCCCCTGGCCCTGCGGACCTGCGTCTGGGCTCAGAGGGCTCCACGTGCTGCCCCTGGCACGGGGCTTCCCTTCCTTGGGGTCACTTTTCCATAATGATGTCAAATAACGTGCCGTTTTCGCTGTGGTACTTGTGTACACACTTCCTCTGAGACCTCAGTAACCACCGCTAGTGAAAGTGGAACTTCCATAGGCTTGCTGAGAAATTCCCCGGCACACCTGCCACGCTTCCCGCTCCCTCCTGACACAGCTGGCACTCCGGGCGGATGCGCGGCTGTGGCAGATAGTAGCGAGGCAGATCTCAACTGTGTTTCAGATCATCTCTCCTGTATCATCGGAAACAATTTAAAGCTCGGAACTGGCAGCAGATGTTTGCTTTTTAGGTTTGTCAGAAGCGTGAGTTGAGCAGGAACTGGCAGGCGGAAGCTCGAACTGTCTTAGGAATCTTCATGCCTCCTGGTCCACGCCCCGCTTTTTTTGTTTTTTAGACGGGAGGCAGATGTGGGTCATCTCTGCCAATAGGGTTCTCGGGTATCATTGAGCAAGCGCTAGCTTTTTTGTTTGTTTGTTTTTTCATATCTTTTTTGTATCTAAATGCCTCACGCTCTTGTGGACTTCCTGCCCCATAAAGCAGAGGCTGATTCCTCCCTCGCCATCTCACCTTCCTTGCCTTTGCCATCATAAACTCCTCCCATCTGCAGATTTAAAAAAAATTAATTCAGACCTATTTATACTTGCCTCTCCTAAACTGTAGACGTGTGTCTAGTGCTTCTGCCTCAGTGGCAGGGAAGACCCTGCCCATTTCAGGCCCCTTCCTACCTATTTTGTACACTGAGGTTGGGAAGGTTTCCACTGCTTTTAGATCAGTGGAACCCAATCTGGAGGGGGTCCTGGAAACAATTAGAGTATCAGTGCCCCCATCACGTGGAGCATCAGGGGCTGCAGAGCCCGCCTAGGTGTTCAATCAGAAAAACAAGAGATGGCACCACGCCCACTGGATCCCTCTGGCCCCGCCCCTCTGTCCATGGGGAGCATCCTGAGGGAACTGGCCGCACCTTGGACCCCAGAGCCCTGATTGTAAACACAGAACAGAGCATGTCTCTCATGGTTTTGTCCCAGCAGCAGAGCCTCAGGGACATGGGGAGGTCGGACACAGTCAGTGCAATGACAGTAGAGTTAAGGAGTCATTATTTGTTGCCAGTTATTTTCTGCTTTGTTCTTTTTCTTACACTTCAAAAAACTGTGCACTTTTGGGGCGGGGCACTTGAATTTTTTAGAAACTTGGAAATGATGCCATCTCCCAGGATTCTTCCAGCCTGGCCTTGAGCAGCACAGAACGGTTGGATGGAGGTGGGGCAGGTAAGTCAGGCCATTGCCGTCACCCCCTTAAGAAAAACACGGTCTGATTCCATGCAACAAATGTGATTGACAGAAGGCAAATAAAGATGGAGAGCAAGGATGGGCCTCTGTGTTACATGTTCTCAGCTTTCACCTAAAAGACCACAGCCCTTCACCTGCCCGACACCTCCCACCACAGTAGCCTGGCACCTGGGCAGGGCACCTTTCCCTGTTTCCTAAAGGGAAGAGACTTCATTGAGAAGAACTCCTAAACTGTGGGCATTTGGAGAGGGGACAATGGCTGATGAATTAATTTAATTAATTAATTATGGAAGTATAATTGACCTACAACACTGTTAGTTCCAGGTGCACACCACCGTGATTTGATATTTCTATTACAAAATGATCACCATGATAAGTACCATCTGTCACTGTACAAAGTTATACCAGAATCACTGACTGTATTCCCCATGCTGTACGTTTCATCCCTGTGACTCATTTATTTTGTCCCTGGAAGTTTGGACCTCTTAATCTCCCTCACCTAATTTCACTCATCCCTCTACCCATTTCTTCTCTAGAATCCACCTGCTTGTTTTCTGTATCTGTGAATCTGTTTCTGTTTTACTGATGTTTTTAAAAAGTAGGCCATACATGGTATATGGGAGGAGGCCATATACTTTTTTTTTTTTTTTTTTTTTTCTTGCGTTATGCGGGCCTCTCACTGTTGTGGCCTCTCCCATTTGCGGAGCACAGGCTCCGGACGCGCAGGCTCAGTGGCCATGGCTCACGGGCCCAGCCGCTCCGCGGCATGTGGGATCTTCCCGAAACGGGGCACGAACCCGCGTCTCCTGCATCGGCAGGCGGACTCTCAAGCACTGCGCCACCAGGGAAGCCCGAGGCCATATACTTTTAACTGACATGAGGGGATGCTCTTTTCTTTCAGCTTGAATATTCCTGAATATCCGATTTCCTTTGACCCTCGGACTTTTCAGGTGCAGAAAGAGAGTAAGATACTTTAGATGCAGACTGGCGAGTAACTTGTATATTGTGCAGAAATTACCTGATTTTACTGTTTGACGTTCTTGTGTTTGGCTTTAGCATCTTCATAAGGTAAGAGTTGGACGAAAACTCATACTCAACTGGCTTTTTTTTGCCTCTTATCTGGATAATTAAGGCAAGGCAGCAAAAGCTATGGAGGCGGGGCATGAGCTGATGCTCCTCTGGAGTGGTTCTCACTAGACTTGAGGTTCAGGGCATCAGCACAGCGCTCCTCTCCCAGGACCTGCAGCCAGACCCCTAACTGATTGTGCTCCAGAACAGAGGCACCTGCAGTTGGTTAGACCTGTACCTTGTGCCAGATCTAAGGAAGATCTGATGGCTTCAGATGGATTGAGGCCTGCTCTCCCCGCTATACACTCGTATGGACATGTACCCTATTAAATATGAGGCTTGTCATCTCTGGAATAGTCAAGGGTGACCGGAAGAGCACCACCAAATTCACCACTTTTCTAGCAAGAATTTTTGTCTTCCACCAGCATGTTCTGATTCTAAAAACATGCTAGAATAGCATGTTCCTGTTCTAAAATATCTTTGTTGACAGATACAGAAAAGAAACTAGTGGTTACCAGTGGGGTGAGGGGTGGGAGGAGGGGCAAGATAGGGATTAAGAGGTATAGACTGCTAGGTACAACATAAGATACAGGGCTGTAATGTACAGCACAGGGAATATGGCCAATATTTTATAATATGTTACATGGAGTATAATCTATAAAAGTATTGAGTCACTGTGTTGTACACATGAAACTAATATAATATTGTAAGCCAACTATATACTTAAATAAAATATCTGATGAGAAATGACAAGAAACCATTATAGCAGTTTGCACCAGACTTCTGCCTTCAAAGGACTGGTTTCTTTCACCTTTGATTTTTACAGTAAAGTGCTTTTTGTACTCATTTTCATTTTAAAAGTGCCTAAAGTGCATCCAGAGAACCGCTTCGGTTTGGGAACACCAGAAAAGAACACCAAAGCGGAGCTCAAGGTGGAGGCGGGCTCCAGGTCCCGGGGCTTTTCCAGCAGGCCCACCAGCCCGAAGCCCCTCCTGCAGTCCCCCAAACCCAGCCTGTCGGTGCGGCCCACCATCCCGCAGAAACCGAGAACCGCCTCGCGGCCTGGTAAGGGTTTTGCTGGTCAGGAAGTGACACCATGACCGGGCCTCCACAGCTGGTTTCCAGGGCGGCTGGTGAACGTGGAGGGGGCGTGTGTGCGGGAGGGGCCGTGAGAAACCTGCCAGAGTGACAAAGGCTGAAGGGTGCCTTCATTCAGCGCTGAGGTCACCCACTCAGGGACTGTCCTTGCACTCGGGGCTACGGCTTGGAGGCAGGATGGATAAAGCAGCCTCGTGGGGTGCTGACCCCTTGACAGGGCTCGGTGTAGCTTTCTGAAAGCTGTGTCCTGGTGCTCCGACCCTTCAGAAGGCCACAGTTTGATGAGGGCCACAAATAGGGAACGCATAAGTTGCTGTGTTTTTAATCCCAGAGCCTGTGAAATATTTAGGGTTTAGAACAGGGCTTGGCGAACTCTGGGGCTGTTTTTGTAAATAACATGTCATGGGCACACAGCCCTACCGTCTGTATACCACAGCCCGGTCCCCACACACACCAAACTGAGAATTACTTTGCTGGTGATGGAGCAGAGAAAGGAGTGCAATGCTGTTAATCCTTTCAATTAGACTGAAACAGGACAGCCTTTAGAATTAAGGGACGAGAGTTCTAATCCTACCTATTTTGCCATCTTTTTAGCTTAGCAGGTCATTCAATCTCTCCAGTTGTACAGTGCTCACCACAGTCCTTTCTGGTTCTCAAAGTCCATGATTCTAAGTTATTCTTACTGATCTCAGTATGTGTATGTAGGTACGTGCACCTCCACTCCTGAGAGCGCAAATATATGTTATATACATATGGTGACCACTTTACTGGATTTGACAACAGGTAAAGGCAATGGGTTATAACTATCACGTATTTTAAGAGAATCAAATAGCCTTTGTGTTTGAGGCATAGGGAGTATTTAGTTCACTTACAGTCTAATTTTCAAATACCAGCTCACTGAAATTCTGAAATTGAAATTCTATCTGCAAGATAGATTCACATCTGCAGATTTTAACTCTTCGTAAGTTTTCATTATTTTTCTCTCTGTTGTCTGTTACTTCACTGAGCTATGAAGCTAGTTTTTGGCCAGAAAAATTCTCTGCTGCTTTTTAAAAGATTATTAGTCATTTGTTTTTGAAGATTAACGCAGCTTATAGCTTTAGGAATCCAGTTTGTGAGACAGGTTCATTCATGTCTTTGTGTCTCCGTAGAGGACATCCCAGACTCTCCATCCAGCCCGGATTCCCCTAAAGTCGCTCTTCTTCCGCCTGTCCTGAAAAAGGTTCCTTCGGACAAGGAGAGAGATAGCCAGGGCAGCCCACAGCCCAGTCCCAGGACGTTTTCCCGGGAAGGTAAGACATTTTTTCTCTGAGTGAGCTCTCCACAAGGAGAGTCATTTCAAGCGGAAGGAATTAATCTTGGACTCAACTTATATCCTAGAGTTTGTCGGTCAGCTCAGCGTCCCTTGGATTAAATTTCGGAACCAGTGCAGTTCTTTGTTCAGAAACTTGATTCAACATTGTTGGTGACACTGGGTCTTAAAGAAGGACCATATACAGGGAATAAAAGCGTAACAGAGACACTCAGCCCAAAGATCTTTGTAATAATAATCTCTAGATGCTCCTGAACTGACTCCCAGGGTATTAAAAGTGCACACACATTGTTTTGTGACTCATTTGGTTGCTACCTGTAGGTTTCTAGGTCCCATCACTGCTCAGAAGAGTTCCCCCTGGTTGTCAGTCACCTTGTCAGTCACCGTTGCTATGGTTCAGGAGCGGCTCACACAGGCCTGGGAGACCCTGTGGCTTGTTAGCTCGCTCAGTCGTGAGGTCAGATGAGCCTCATTCTCAGAAGTGTGTCATCTGCATGGATGCTCTCAGTGCATCATGGCACCAGTGTGTTCGTTCCTTCTAATTTGCTGAGGTGGGAGCAGAACAAGGTAGTCCCGGAACTTGAATCTCATCTCCCAGAATCAGATCAAATGTCGGTATCAGTGGAGGCGAGGTGTGTTCGGGGTGTCTTCCGCACCCCACCAGGTCTTTCCCCCACTCCTCCCATTCTGTTCAATGCACAGGTGCCTTTAGGATTCTGTCCTTCATAAAGTGTAATATAATTGCCATCTCTAAGCCCCACCTATAAAGAAATTCTAGAGCCATTGTCACCCATGTTCAGATAGCTCTCTGGTTTGGAGTTGCTTGGTTTTATTTTATTGTTTGATGCTTTAGAATTCTTTAACCGCTCTGACGTCTTCCTCCCTTGGGCCATTTTCTTTTATTCATGATGGTCTTGGGTTGAAGTTAATAGAAAGTGTTTGTGAGTACTGTCTTTGTTAATTGGGAGTCGAATGAAAAATAACACAGCCTGCTTTCTCATCTCCATTCTGCAGATTTACTTGGTGGGTACAAGCTTCACTCACCTGTTGGCTATAAATTTAAAAAGGTGGGGTTTTTGACCAAAGCTGACAAACCACTTCTGTCAGAGAAACTAAAGCCATGAACAATGGCTGACACCTATAGTCATTTCACACGGGGTAATCAGTAAATACAGGGCTTGGTATTACAGCCACGGCCTTTGGAAGTCTTGGTGTAGGAAGAGGAAACTTTGGTGGTGCCAGGTCAGAGAGACTGGAGCCAGCGAGTGTCCCTGACAGGCCCACTCACACCACACAGCCCCACCCCTCATTTGTCCTTCTTTCTGCAACTGCTGACTTTGCATCTTTACTTATAAGGAAGCTTTGAAAATGCCTGAGAGAATTTTGTTGGAGAGAAATGGGGAGGCATGGAGGGGTGGTAGGGGTAAGTAGGAATGCTCACCTCATCAAAAAGCCATTGGAAATATGGAAGGATTAAAAAGAAAGGGGGAGAAGGTTGAACAAGAAATAATTGCTTAACATTTTTGAAAAATGATGTTTTCTAAGACGCCTGGCTATATGATCAGACAAGGCCTAGAGTCACCCACCAGCCTCATGAGTAACAGCACGTACCATGGAGCCTCTAGTTAATGAAGTGGGTGAAATACTGGATGCTGCTCGTGTGCCCATTGCTGCTTTGAAAAATTCAGGTGTTCTTTCCCCAGGAACTTAGGAATGAATGAGTTGCTTCTCAGACATTTCATAGCTTCAGGGATAGATGTTTGATTCCCTTCCTCACTCCCCCCGCCCAGCAGCAAATACTGTGGATGGTTTGCGACCCCATCTTTCCAGCTAAAGACTGTAGAGCTGGGGAGACCGTTGCTTTCCCCTCTGGCATCCAGGATAAGTTAGTCACCGAGATCATTCTGATGGTGTCGCTTGATACTGAAATTGGACTGAAAATCTAGGTGAGGTCTGAGCACGGTTTGTAAATGTCTGAGGTGGTAATATTTTGACTTCAGTTTCTTTTTCAGCTTGTCCACTAAGCTGGCCCAGGAAGGAGAGCCCTTGTGAGCCCTCTCTTTTTCTTTAGAAAAATGTTCCTGCTGTGCTCATTCCTATTTTCTTGTACATTATTCATGCTGGTTACTTCATTTCCTTGTTCTGTGCCTCCCTTTGGACTAGCGTGCCCAACTCATTTCTGAAACAGGTAAATGGCTGTGATTCTTCTGGATTATTCCATAGTGAATGTGACTTTCGTTAATCCATCTTGGGATCGAAATGGTAATGTGGGGGCCTTTTTATTAGTATCTTTTGGGGGCAGACTCAGCGCTCACCTCATTTTGCACGACATTTCCATAATGTTGGCTGTTGAATTCTGTATAGATAATGGTATATCTGTTCAGGACCAACACTGGAGGTTCCTTGAATCTTAAGTGGGGTGGGTAAGCTGATATTTAAGTTTTATATATTAATATTTTTTAATATTAATGTCAGCATGATGTTATTTGCTACTACAAAGGGTAAAATGAATCCCTTTTCCTCAGTAGTGCAAAGAGGAGATTATTACAAAAGGCATTCAGATCATGACAGTGGCAAGCCTTCCAGTAGAGGGAAAAGACCTTCAAAACTGTACTCCACCATTGCAGAAGAGGAAGTGAATGCAATTGGGCACAGGAAGTCACAGCCAACAAATGGTTAGAGTCTTCAATTATCATCCCTCACTGTCCCAAAGCTTATGAACTGGCACTAACAAAAACAAACTTTAATTGAGTAACTTCTATCCTGGGACTGGGTCAGGGATTATTCATAAACTGGTTTTTTTTTTCCCTAAATGGCAACAGGATGGTCCTTCCATTGGGGGCAAAAAGTATTGACTTAAAAATCTAAATTTAGAAATTCTTATGAGGAGGATCAAGTTACTTTGGAGTATGGTGACTTGTCCTTTCAAATTTCTGTGATCGTGGAGGTTTATTTTTATATTCAGGGTCATCATGTCTCCTATTCTCTCCCTTTCTCTCTTTACTCTTCTCTTACATTTCAACCGGGATGGGGTCAGAAATTCTTAGAGTAGCACGGTTTACCCTTTAGAGAATGTTGGTCTAACACCTTACCTTACACTCTTTTAGGGAAGGATGCACGTGATCTTTTAGCAGACATTTTATGACCCTTTAGTAAGAAAGGAAAAGTACCAATTAACTTTTCAGCCGCTAGGAACAATTTATACTGTTTTACAGCAGTTACTCAATAACTTCTGTGTGCCATTTGACACTGTAGTAAATTCTGTAAAGTCATTTTCAGGTGAGGACAGTCCCAGGAGAGAAAAAGGAGACAGATTTGAAATCAGCTTTCGTCTCCAATGGGAAATTTTAGAACAAGCACTGCTGATTCAGAGAGGAAATGGCTTTTCTATGACTATTCATCATCTCCCTGGTTAATAACTTTTTATAAATATGACTTGAAAAGTCTTTTAAAGGAAATTTTAGTATCATAAAAGAAAAAGAATATAAGATATTCTTGTATGGGAAATTTCCTTAAGGGACTTTTTCCCTTAGAAGAAGGCTTTTTTTTCTTTCTGTAAAACTTAATTAGAGGTTAACATATGAGTGTCTTGGCTCCAGGGATAAAGTGCCCACAGCCACACAATCTAGCCATAAGCCCACATCCCTCAAGAGGGCAGGGCACTGGAAGTGACCTTATAATAGGGATAATTTCCCTTTATTTTAAAAGGCTAAACCATTCTCAAACTTTAGCACTTGATTATTGATGATAAACTTCTCCCACCTTAGAGCTTAGTAGCCCAGTGAGTTATGATTTCTCAAGCAGGAACTATTGTCTGTGAGGACTTTCCTCGACAGATTTAAACACAAAAACAACAAAGAAAACATCTACCAGCCCCCCACGAGCAACAGCATTTGGAATCAGCCTTCTTGGCCAGTACTGTTGGATGAGCCATGTACTCTGACTTGCCTGGTGGCCCGGCGCGCACTAGCCACATGACAGGGTGGAGTTAAGGACATGCCCACCACATAAAGCGAAGTCCGTAGTCTGTAGATACGCATGGACCATTCTGTTTGGGCCGAGCAGCACTTGCCCTAGAGGAAACCAACCAGCTTGGTCCTTCACTTGGTACAAGTACTTCCTTTGTGGTAGGTGTGTTCATAGACACACGATTACAGTAACTCTTCCCCGCAAGAGATTTTCTAAGAAAATCTGTTGTCTTCAAGTCACAGAAAAATTACATAAATGAACACCTAAGACACTTATTTTCTGGAGAGAATTAATTCTTAGAGTATATTAAATCAGAAGGCCTGTCTCTATATAGTGCCTCTTTTGATAAGGACACCCAAGGTTACATAGATGTTTCTAGATTTTGTTTTCGGAAATTTACATTTGAACTATTGCATCGGTTGACTCATATCACTCGTTAATGACAAAGCACCCTTGATACAAAGTAATGTTCCTTCTTCAAGAGGCCACTAGAGCACTTTATACAACACACAGACGAGGAGCCCGCCTGCCAGTACCACATGGATCAGCCAGTGAGGCTCTGAGTTAAACTGAGATGAAGCCAGAGATAAGCCAAATCCTAGAAAGGCAAGAAATTCTGTCTCTCTCTGATTTTTTCATGACCTCTTTGGCTTAAAATTCTCATTGTGATGGGCTGCATCAAATTTTGATGGAATTAAATAGGACCATCTTGATTTGCTTTGCTGCCTTGATTTCTTGAACTATGGACAGGAAACCAAAAATGTAATTTTTACAGGACCTTCAATTAAAGTAATTTTATGTATAATATTTTAATCCTGTTTTGTTAGTGCCGATTCCCAGCACTTGTCTTCACCCCTGAGAACTGCGCAGCAGTCTTTCTGAATAGTTTCCGGGTTAACAAATAGCATTCAGCAGAGCAATTCTATTAAACCCCCGCTGCGTACTTTTCTTTAAGAACAGCTTTGTTTATGCTAAAATAGCTTCCTTATTTTCCTAAATCATGTATGCGTGAAACAGAGGCTACTGTTCTCAAAGCATGCTACCTATTTTTACCACGATTATTGTTTTAATTGTGTGGCTATTTTAATATTGATGTGACAGGTAAAATGCTTACTTTCTTTCCCTGGAAGTACTTGTAACTGCATCAAGTGATATGAATTTCATATCATTTCCTCTCTACGTTTAATCATAAGCTGTGAGGTTTTCATTAGAGTATGTCCTATTTTCTTGAAGAAAATAGTTGGTTTTGGCTTTGTATGCATTGTAATGTATTCTATTTGTACAGGCCATCTTATTGTGAGACTCCTTTTATATATATCAATCACTTGCTTCTTCCATAATTCAACCTATAGCCAACAAATATTTGGCTGTGGCTTACTGTCTGTAAGCCAGTGCTCTGTTCCCCGTTTTTCACCAGATCTGGGTTCTACTACCCCCTACGTGAATTCTTCAAAAGAAATTTAATGGTTGGTTGGCACTTTGGGCCCTTGCCAGAAAGTATTAAAAAACCAGGGCCGACTACTGAGTATTATTTTAAGGTCGTCATAATGTTTTCTCCTGGGAAATATGGAGGTCAGTGGAGCTTAAAATGAAGAAAAGCTCAAACTTTTATATGAATCTCTAATTCTGAATTTATATGCACATTCCAGAAGCTTTAAAATTAGCATATATATGTATTTGCATATATATATATATATATATATATATGCAAAATCAGATCATCTTCAAGAATGACAGATTTCACACTTGAGCCTCTCTGGGCCAGTTATCGCCACTGTAGACAGGATATGAATATACATGGAGTGTCTGTGTTGAATAAATTGCCTGTTTGTTTACTTACTCAAGTATCTTTTATAATTTTAATGGTACCTGGAACGGTAATAAATATGTGTATAGACACATATATAGAGATGCTCCAGCACTTTAATGCTTGACTTTATACAGTATAAAAAAAACTAGATTGTTTTACTACACTTCTTTAATGTAAGAATTCACACATTAAAGCAGGCTGCCTAAGAGTCTAAATTCAGAAATATTGAACCTACTTCAATATAATTGTAATTAACATCCTAATCACATGCAATCAAATAATGCTGCCTAAAGGCTGGAAAACAAACTTGACAAAGAACATTCCCCCTACAAAGTTGTTTGCACGAGTGATCTGGACTAATACTGTGTGCTTTGGCTTCCAAACTCAAAGTTAGTTGTGCAGCTAGTTCCTTGATCTCACCATGCCTCAGTTTTCCTATCCAAGAAAGGTGCCTACCTATGATACAAAGAAAATGTCAGCCTGGTACTAGACTCATACTGTCACATTCACAATTGGTAGAGTTAAATCAATGACAGTGAATATTTTTAGAATAAATTTTTAGATAATGGCACCACCCTAGTGAACTGCTTTGACAGTCCCCCAGAAAGAGCATGTTATTATTCCTCTCAGTGACTATGTCGGACAAATTAAAATTTTTGCTTTCATGACTGGTACCAACTCAGAAACCAGCCTGTTAACTTGCCCCCCGCCCACGCCCCCATCCCTGGAGGACTCAAATACTAGTGTCACTTGGATGGAGGCTAAAGGACAATCTTACTTTTTGCAGGGAAGATTCCTGTGTTGGATTTCTCTCAGTTTCGCTTAGCTCTGGTCCAGGATTCTCGGTTTTTATCTGTGACAGAAACATATTTGATTGCATGAATTTCTCCATTTTTAGAGAGTAGTCTGATGTCATATCATGTAACATCAATTAGACCTGGGATTTTGAGGAAGCCTAAAATATTGGGAAGGATGAAAAGTTTTAATCTAAGAATAAAAGCTAAACGTTTGCTCTGAAGACAAATGAGCAATGTATCACCATACTTATTTCTTCCTTAGAGCTTGTAGTGTTGGAAATTGAGTAATACTTACTTTAGTTTTAAAATGAATGAATAAAATTTCCTAGCAGTTTTCACTAGTAATGCTCTACTTTGAGGTTATTTATTGCACAGTATTTCAAGATGAAAATATTATAACTTTTCTCTGTTAACTCCTGTTCATAATACACACACAAGTTGAGAACTTAAATACTTTGAGTATTATTGAATACTATCAAATTGGCTTTGTGATAAAGGGCAAACTATTTATAGAAAATTATTTACTTTTCCAAAACCTGGCTTGTTAACAACTTTCAAAGGACCAAACACATTTAATTTTTTTACCCAATGCAAGCTAAAAAATAAAAATCAATATATATCATTTTTTCATTGCTTTTCCCCTCCATCTGAGAATTTGCTCAAAGCTGTTGTGTAAAAAGAAGTCAAAAAAAATTTTTTTTAATTACTTACTTGTATGGTGAGATTTGAAAGTTTATCCTTTTCAGAATTGAGTAATTTCAATTTAACGTAATTAACGAAACTTAAATTTTTATTGTCTAGAGGTCAGAATCTGGCCCTGACAGCAGGAGTGGCAGGAGTACTTTATTATGTTTGCATTTTGACTATTAGGTTTCATGAGCTTTCACTTCCTGAAACACCGTTCTTTAGCAGAGTAAACATTTAATTAGCCAAGATGAGTTTTTTAGCATAATGCTAAGGTCGAAATGATTAGAAGAATCAAATGAATCCTCTTGCTTTTCCAGGACTATGTTCCTGGTTGGATCATTTAAACTTCTGAGTAGTGAGATAGCTGTACTCTTTCAAGCCACACAGAGTGCATGGGTTTGGTATTTTTAGCTTGAGTGGTGTCTCTACAATAGACTTGGTGAGTAATATTTAATAACCCTTAACAGTCATGCTGGAGTGTGGCATCTGAACCTTTCCCAAGGTATAGTAGCAGTGAAGCTATGATCTAGTTGGAAAGAACATGGGCTTTGGAGAAAGATTTGGTTTAAATCCCGATTCCAAGGTTTATGGAACCTACCCCGTAGCTGTGAACAACAGAGCGCCTGGCAGGACACATCACAAAGGCTCAGTCCGGTGATTGTTCTCTCATTGCTTTGTAGAGACACAGCAGATCCTTCATATTTATATGTGATCAAAACAGGCAACAAAAATGGCAGTTCTTTTACCTGGAGGCTGGTTCCTAGAGGATTGAATATAGGCAGTATTAATTCATCTCTACAAGACGTTATTCATTTCCTAGCGAGTGAAACGGAAGTTTTCTAAGACATAGAAAACCCTGACAAGGATTACTAGGGCCTCTGCTTATATCCCGTCCCTGAAGCAGGGATGGCCAACCCTAAATGGTCCGCCTCAGGGCTCTGCTTCCTGTGCTGCATGAGGGGGCAGCTGTGACTGAGGAGCTCACCTGGGGCACAGTGGCTTCAGTGCTCCTCCTTCCTGGCCTCTCCCTTCGCTCCCACCCACACCCTCACCTCCTGGGGTCCTTGCCCTCAGATGGTCAACCACATCTATGAGAGGCTCACCCTCTCATAGACTGGGGTTTTTCTGTTTTGTTTTGTTGGTTTGTTTTTAATTTCTGTCTAGAGTCTTGAAATGTACTTGGCAAGTTGCTTTTGAGCAAGTTTATCCCGAACCCTCCCACTCTTCAGGGCCCCTGCATCTCACCCCATTACTGCTCAGGCCACTGGCATCTTCTTGTTCATCACCTATAATGACTTCCTTTCCTTTCTGTTTCAGTGTCCAGGAGAAGCTGGGGCCAGCAGGCCCAGGAGTGTCAAGAACAAAAGCAGTGGTCCTCCAGTAAAGATGGCCAGCAAGGCAGCAAATCCAGTGACTCTGGGGAAGAAGCAGAAAAAGAGTTTATTTTTGTGTAACAGTCACCCACGTAGACGTCTTACCATGCGGGGTGCGTTTGCTGGCCATCAGAGAGGAACCAAGGGCAACACCTCTTCCTACTTCCTACCCCCCGCCCCACCAAAACTGAAACAGATCCATCTCTTGGTAATCAAAGCACATGTCTGATCTTCTTCCAACCCTCAGCATTTGATTTCTATGCATTCCTTCATATGCCTTCAGTGAATGCCAGCAATTATCCCACGGGCCCTACTTGAATTTCTCTGAGGCAGCTACAGTTTGCCCTGTAAGATGAGTTTTGGGAGGTAAACAAATAACTGGACACAAACTCACACCATCCAGCTGACCCTGGGGTACTGCTGCACGTACCTGTGTCAAATCTGCACTTGACTTGATAGAGCAATTTATTCTTGATGTATGCAATTGCACACTGTAATTATATTAACAGAGCACACTAATAATTTGTATAAATTATATATATTAGATCTTGGGTATGGTTTTTGCATTCTCCCATGGGGAACTTCCTCCTTCCCGACGTGGAACTGTACCTTTTCACTTGGTCTGGTGACCTTTGTGATACCATCAACAAGCAAGTTAAGAACCGAGTGAAAGGCCCGTGGCTGAGTCTACCATGTGCCCAGATTAATGTATATAGTTGACTGGAATGAGGTTTTATGAATATTCGTGTTTTTTGAAGGCCTTTAATTTCTGTCTGCATATTAGCTTTTAACGTGTGATTAAGAGAAAATACTTTGACACCTGTAAAAAAATCAAACTACTTTTTGAGACATTTCACAAATATTCACTTACATTACACGCTGAAGGTATTTTATGCATATGTATATTTATACCAATAAAATGATTTTACAAGTGGAATTGTGACTTTCTCCAGCGACTTTTTTAGTGAGGATTGGCTTGTGATGAACTTTGTTTTCCAAAAATCCACAATAACCACAGTTCCCAGATAATCAAAAACCTATTACATTCCAAATAAATGCAACTTGCTAATTCCATGGCCTCCTCTCACCTTTGGCCAAAGGATGAAATTCATCAAAAGGTTATATTATGAGTGTCCAGGAGAGCCCACTCAGGCCAAATGACAGGGCCAGATGATGGAGTGGGGGCCTGAGTCGCTCAGAAAATACCAAGGCACTGTGAGATGAGCCGGACTACTGCTAGGAGGGGTCTGGGAATCTTCACCTAAGTTAAAGACCATGGTTTTCCTACCGGTGCCGTGTGCAAGCCCTAAACTAAGAATCAGCCTATCAGTAATTCACACCCCATGTCAGTTATACCAAACGGGCCAAAAAAGCCAGGAATCACTTTGTTTTGAGGACGCTTCGTTGTATGGCTACATTGGGCAGGCTGACCTTCCAAATGTATTTTTCCTTAGTTTAACATTGGTTGGTCTGGGTCTACTTTGCAGAGGCCATTGGCCAGCAGTTGGGCAGGCATGTGTCAGGTGTTGGAAAGAAGTCAACTGCAATTAAAACATGGCCACTGAAAATCCAGGAAGAGGATAATTGACACCTGGTTATTTACGATGGGGAGCTCCACCTGGCTCCACCTGTGGTAGAAAAGATGTGCTCATGCCTTTGATCCTGCCCCATGCTGGCTTGTTTCCCCGTGTGATCCAGCTTCTGTTCAGGATCCACTTTAACACTCTCCATTTGCAAAATAGTATTCCCAGAGGAAATACTGCAAACTTGAAGGGAAAACAAGGACTCATTTCTTTTTTGTGAAAGAAAATATATGGAAAAATTACAACAGAAAATCTAAGGAGGCAGGGCAGCCCTGGTTTTTCAAAACTGTTGCACCTGTCCTCAACCCCTAGTGTGCAAATCCTAAATTGAGATGGCCATGAAAAGATTTAGCATTTTTTACTTGCTAGATTAAAAGCACTGCCCAGGTGTGGTCCTGCTGTAGAAACCATTTGGAGTTCATTCTCTGCCTGTTCCTCTTTTTTCTTCAGAGCAAGAACATTAACCAACACCTTCTATAGATTGTTGAAGGAGCCCAGTGAGAGGCCTTGGTAGAAGGCTCTAGATTATTTGGCTGACCCTCATGTCCACTCTATAAGGCGCTAAGGAAATAGAGGTTTCAGACCCTCAAGGGTTGTCACTGCTGTGTTTGGAGTCCTGCTCTTCCTAAGGTACGCAGTCAACTAGAAATCTGCATTCCCGACTCTCATTTAGCCCAGCACCCAACCCCTTAGCCAAATTGCTGAAGACCAGAACCGGGCCAGAACCCAACCCCTTAGCCTCCTTAACATCATACACAAAAATAAGCTCAAAATGGATTAAAGACCTAAATGTAATGCTGGATATTATAAAACTCTCAGAGAAAAACATCGGCAGAACACTCTGACATAAGTGGCAGCAAGATCTTTTTTGGTCCACCTCCTAGAGTAATGAAAATAAAAACAAACAAATTGGACCTATTGAAACTTACAAGCTTTTGCACAGCAAAGGAAACCATAAACAAAATGAAAAGACAACCCACAGAATGGGAAAAAATATTTGCAAATGAAGCAACTGACAAGGGATTAACCTCCAAAATATACAAACAGCTCATGCAGCTGAATATCAAAAAACCAAACAACCCAATCAAAAAACGGGCAGATCTAAACAGACATTTCTCCAAAGAAGACATACAGATGGCCAACAGACACATGAAAAGATGCTCAACGTCACTAATAATTAGAGAAATGCAAATCAAAACTGCAATGAGGGGCTTCCCTGGTGGCGCAGTGCTTGAGAGTCCGCCTGCCGATGCAGGAGACGCGGGTTCGTGCCCCGTTTCGGGAAGATCCCACATGCCGTGGAGCGGCTGGGCCCGTGAGCCATGGCCACTGAGCCTACGCGTCCGGAGCCTGTGCTCCGCAAATGGGAGAGGCCACAACAGTGAAAGGCCCGCATAACGCAAGAAAAAAAAAAAATGCAATGAGGTATCACCTCGCACCAGTCAGAATGGCCATCATCAAAAAAATCTACAAGCAATAAATGCTGGAGAGGGTGTGGAGAAAAGGGAAGCTTCCTACACTGTTGGTAGGAATGTAAATTGATGTAGCCACTGTGGAGACCAGTATGGAGGGAGGTTCCTTAAAAAACTAAAAGCAGAGCTACCTTATGATCCAGCAATCCCACTCCTGGGCATATATCTGAAGAAAACCATAATTCACAAAGATTACATGTACCCCAGTGTTCATTGCAGCACTATTTACAATAGCCAAGACATGGAAGCAACCTAAATGTCCACTGACAGAGGAATGGAGAAAGAAGATGTGGTACATATATACAATGGAATATTACTCGGCCATAAAAAGGAACGAAATAGTGCCCTTTGCAGAGATGTGGATGGACCTAGAGATTGTCATAGAGTGAATGAAGTTAAGTCAGAAAGAGAAAAACAAATATCATATCACTTATATGTGGAATCTAGATAAACGATACAGATAAAGTTATTTGCAAAGCAGAAATACAGTCACAGATGTAGAGAATAAACTTATGCTTAGCAAAGGGGGAAGGGGGGGTGGGATGAACTGGGAGATTGGGATTGACAGATATACACACTACTATGTATAAAATAGGTAACTAATGAGAACCTACTGTATAGCACAGGGAACTCTACTCAGTGCTCTGTGGTGATCTAAATGGGAAGGGAATTTTAACAAGAGTGGATATAGGTATACGTATAACTGATTCACTTTGCTGTACACCTGAAATTAACACAACATTGTAAAGCAACTATACTCTAAAAAAATTAAAGAAAAAGAAATAATTGTGTCCAATACCAGTGATTCATGAGTGTAGAGTGACCATGAGGCATGCCCAGTAATGACAAAAATCAAACTTTGTGATAACTGTAGAGATCTAGGACTCATAAGACCCAACTCTTGACGGAGATAAGGGGTCAGAAGCACCATGCCCTTATATTTCTATAGAGCGGAAACTGATTTTGCAAAACGTTGCCGAGCTTGCTCTATCCCATCCCAGATACCTTGATGGCACCCTCATTGCCCAAGATTGCAAAGGAAAAGCATGTCTTTTTCCCCACTCCAGGCCAGAGGGCAGGGGGGACCATTTGCTAACAAAGATATGATTTGCTGGCCTGAACTGCTGGGCTCCTGGAGAGTGCCCCTGAGCTGAAGCCAGACTCAGTCCAAAGAGGAGACCAGCTTGTCCACCTGCCACTGATTTTCCAAACTCTAAACAAGGTCCTTAACCTGCAGGCCACGGGCTGGGTAGGATTCAAGGCATCTGTGAACTTGGATCGTGAAAATTACATTTTCTTTAACCTCGTTTGCAATTTAGTATTTCCCTCAGTTTGAGGATATGCAACAAGCCACGGTTGTATTAGCAACACTTGGGATATTTTCCTATCAGTTTACAATCATTGCAGGCGTTGCAAGACATCCTTCACACTCACACTCATCACAACTCAGAATTATAGTAGTTATGAGATATCCTGCTAGATCGTGTTATTTAATAAATTGATAAAGCACGTTCACCTCTAAAGCACATTCACCTCTAAAGCATTCACTTTTAAATCAAAATTTGTCTTAAAAATATTTTTAGTAACTGTACACATCAATGTAATTAGTTTCCACTGTAATACTCTGTTGGGCTGCTCCCCGCAGGCCTGCAAGCCTTGTAGTTGCCCAGCCTCAAGACCTAAGTAAGACCCGGGAGACAACGACAGACACATAACGGCTTATTGGTCAGGGGATCTTACAAATCTGAAGTCAGGTCCTGGAGCAACACCCCACCGTGTGAGGCAGCCAGCGAGCAGGACACAACAGCAATCTTTCCTACAGTGGTGGTGGTGGTGGCGGCGGGGGTGGTCTACCATTTACAGGGGAAATTGACCAACGTTAGTTAGGCTCATCAGTTACCAGAGAAACCGGCAGCCGGGGCACCTCCCTCACAGCCCCTCACCAGGGCCGATGTTTCCCTTTAATAAACTAGCAGGTGAAGCCATTCTGGCCTAAGGGGCAGGGGGAAAGCACGTTCCTGTGAGT